AATCTTTGCAAAGTGGGTGGATTTAAAAATAAAGAGCATAAAACCTTGAACTTATGGAAAAAAAACTCATCTACCATTTGCGACATTGCACAATGTGAAAAAAAACCCTAAAATAATGCTTAAGCTTTTGGTCTAGAACACTGTAGACCTAGATTTTTAGAAAAGAAATATACCAAGTTAAAGTGGAATATAACAATTTAAACCGTATGTACAAACCATCACAAGTTGAGTTTAAAAATAGGTTGGTGTAGTTTTTTTTTACTCTAAGAGTGATTTTTAAGGTGTGTAGTTTAAAACTAAATAGACCTAACACTTTAGATTTATAATAAAAAAATCCTTGTAATGGGTAGGTTTGAAAATAAATAAGGATAAAATTTATAGCTAAATAATCAATCTACAGTTGCAACTATGCTATAACAAATTTATGAAATATAAATTAATTTTAAAAGCAAATCATTAGATTACTTTAGGTCAAAAACTGATTATGAAGCGAGTGAATTTAAAAATAAATTAGAAAAATTTGAGTTTATAGCAAAAAAAAAAAAAATCTTTATATGGTCCTTCATTATATTGTTATATTATATTATTGAAGTTGGTGGAATATTTCTGATTTATGATTATTTTTTCAAATGGGTGGGCTTAAAAGTAAATTGGGTTAGCTTATTGGGTTTATAGATAAAAATTTTATTTATTTATTATTACTTTTAACTACAGTGAACTGATATTGTGAAGCTGAGAAAGGTGTCATCAGTCGGCCAAGCCTAGAGTTGAATTCTGAGCTAAATCCGAACTCGTAGACAAAGTTCGCCAACTAACGAACTTTGCCCACATGGACCAAGTCGTCCACTTCCAAAGAATCTGCCCACGTTCGAAGCGACCTTTGCCCACGTCTTCAGCGAATTTTGCCAAGTCCGCGAAGTTCGCCCTAATAGCTGTTTCAGTGCTATTTTCAGGGGATAACCGCTCCCCACTAACTTCTACTCTAATGGCCACTTAATCCATAATTAAGGAGACCATTAACTCTCTTTTTTAGCCTATAAAAGGGGAGAAGATCATCCACTTACGACACACGCAAACAGAGAGAAACACACACACGCAAATGTATATGAGAAGTATTGCTAAGAGAAAACTAAGCTAACTTCCAAGCAGTCTAATCATCATCAACAGCAAAAGACTCATAGTCTTAGTCGGTGAGTCAACAGAGTACAAGATCGATGCTCCACCGGCACACGAAAAAGAACCCTGAGGGAAAAAAAATTCTTTGTTTCATTAAATTTCTTTCTATTTTAATATGTGTTAATTACAATATAAAAGAACCCGAAACAGAAACTATAACTTTTTGTTATAGTTTCTGTTAATTAAGGCTGGAATCTCACTAGGAGATTAGCCAGAAGAGCTCGAGCTGAAACCCATAATGAATACCCACACTACAAAAAAAAGTTATAGTTTTTTAATCTCTATGAAACACATTTTTGCGTTGCACAAATAGAAAGCAACAGATACCAAAAGTGTGGTTAGAACATGTGTAGAGAACATTTTTTATATATGTGAGAACGTGTCACAAAACTCATAACACATATAAATGTTCAGAGTGGTGACACATACATGTGTCACAAAACTCGTGACACATATGTGTCAATAGTGGTGATACATAATTGTGTCTAGGCCACAAAAATATAAAAAGTATCATCATTCAACACTACAACATCCCAAAAAATCATCCATCCTAGGATTATTCTCACGAAGACACACTTAACTATGGATTTTCATTAGTTTATACACTATCATAAATATTTAATTATCATCATAATTAGAATTTAATATTTATTGTTTAAGCTCATTACTAGAACATCTCACAATCCATATTAGACTATTAGCCCTTTTTAATTATACTAGTATGCAATACGTGCGTTGCACGTGGTGCATATTAAGAAACAACATGATTCAAAATTCATAATGTTTTCATAATTATGCATTGAACTTATACGCAATACACAAAATGAATGGCAATTAACCATTATCATCACATTACAAACCAAAAAAATATTCAATTAGCATAGCAATATACATACAATGAGAGTAAACATAGCTTTATTGTTGAAAGTCAATAATTAAAAATAAATAAAATTTCTTACTTACAACAAGAAGTTAATGAATTTCCAGCAATATACATGTTTTATAGAAGAAGCATCCCTCTATGCATACATAAGATCACATACTCGTATTACCGGCAATATAATCCCTCAAAGAAAGTACCATATTGCACTATATTTATGCAAACCCCAAAAAACTATGTATTGTTTTTTGGAAGATAAACTATAGTTGCAATAATAAGTACAAATAAAAGTGAAGCAAAATTATACAGTACAATGTCAAAGTTGTATCTCCATTTTCAAAGCTGGGGTTGTTGGTGCATATCTTTCCACGACTTTTTCATCTTTGTCCACAAATTCCACTTGATGTCATCGCCAAAAAACCTCCTTTCTTTGACTTCAATAACTTAAAATAAAGAATAGCAGGCACCTTTCCATTCACTTCAACCTACAAAAAAAATGAGCCAGTCACATATAGTTACATGAAATTTTCTTCTAGAACAATGGCAACATAATGAAAATTTCTATTGCATATTTGCAAAGTGCAAAGGAGATCTATAACTAAGCCAAAATTTGAAGCTAATAATCCTGTTTTGTGAAAATTAACATTGTATTTTGTTTTTCCAATCACGCTACCCATCGAAAACCAAATCTAGTTAGTTTGAAGATATTCACATTCATAACATATTTGTAACATTTGTTTGATTTCGTTTGAATTATCTTTCCTGATGAAAGGTAATGATATACAAACAAGAATAAATTTATAACAATAACAGCTATCTACAAACAAAGAAACAAATAACAAACAAAACTCAATTCAAATCTAATCTTTACCGCTACATTCGATTCTTGAGCTTTATCAAGAACCTTTGATTATCCTCCTTCGCACTTTGTACCAACAACTCAAGCAAATTTTAAAAATATGCATGCATACAATCCTAAAAAATCAAAACCTGTGAATGAGATGAACCAAATCATACCTACAGATATGCCTCATTGTATAATGTATTAAATTTAGCGAATTTCTTTTGATTCCTAATTAAAAACAATGAATGCTATAGAAGAAAGAAAAACACTGGATGAGGCTTCGCCAAGCTTTCCCGCTCAAACTGTAATGGATCATGAACTTAAGGATATCAAGTGGAATATAGAAGACGATGCTATAGAGCCATATGACTCCTGCCCATCCCCATCCACAACCTTTGATGCGAGAAAAGCCCCAGTGTGCATACACTACAATTATTGTAGCCACCTGCACAAATAAATAAAAGATCATAACATGATAGAAATCATAAAAAGTTATTCAATGGCAATTTTTTCCGTCCGAACTATTACCAATTGTGCAATTATTATGTTAGATGCACCACGAGCAGCATCAGTGGCATCAGCCACAGCTATGCGGCTTTATTTAGGGCAGGGACGTCATTTACACTATCACCAGTCATGCAACAGATGGGCTTTCTATATTGGAGGCGCTTCACGATTTTGTATTTGTGTTTTTAAAATTTTTGGGATTTTTTTGCATTTCTATATGAATTACCATGTAACTTGCACCAGTAAGCATATAATTTCAAAATTACTTTTAGTTAAGCAGGACAATAGAGATTTCTGGAAAACATTACTTACTATCCATTTAATGAAGTGTGTAGATAACTCACAAATAAGGTCTTCCAATTTTTACAATGTGATGATGAACATAGAAGAGCAGCTAATAATACCTTAGACGCAGGTATTTGATCAATGAGTACTGATTCTATTTTCTCTCAAATATAGAAAAAAAAGTCCTGACTCCTATTTTTAGGCACATTGCCAACAAGAATAGACAAATGATAAATGTCAAATGTGGTATTTTTAAGTATTGTGACAAAATATGAAAACCTTATAAGGATTATTTATGAGCTAAATTACACACCTTCACACACCGTCCAACCAACATATCGTCGTAACGACCGATCGGCTGGCCATCTCCCATGAGGCCAAAGTACATTGCGGGGTCGATAAGCTCACGGTCAAAGGCCAGATTCATACCACACATGGAAAACAATGTTCCCTTGGAGATACTCATAACAACATCAACATACCTATGGCAAACATAGAAACCAACGTTGGAGGATAAGCATCCTTATCCATTTAATACTGTAATGTGAATGATGACGCGTTACCTTTTGTTCCTTTCCAAAGGATTGAGGAGCTGAGTGGGAGCATCATAGTAAGGGATGTGTAACCAGAGACCATGGGAAACAGCAGTTGAAACACATTCCCTGAGGCTGAAAGGATACCCATGCACAAAATTTGCACCGTCACGGTATGGATCGTACAATGTGTTGAAGAAGTATGGGGTAGCATAGCTAAGGAGATTATTTATATGCTGCTCCAGAGCCTTGATGTCTTTTCCAGATGGATTCTTGGCCACCTAGTATCAGTATTTAAAAAATTGGTTAGAAATATGACAAGGTATAAAAGTTTTATTAATTATCATGCATATTTACACTATGTATTCTAAGTATGATTCTTGTTAGTAAGATCGATATGTGTGTAACCAACTATACTCCTTTTTAGGAAGATCTCATACCATAATCATCAATTGGTCGTTGTCCATGATCTCCTAAAACCGCAGTAACCAATTCCATTGATATGCATATACGATTTTCCTACAAAAGATAAATATGCAATGAAGTTAATTGAGCAATGAAAGCCATAATAATATAATATTAAATCTCTAACAGTCAGCACGAAGAGTAGTGACATCATGTGAACTCTTGTAGGCTTGAGTAACTGTATGTGTGTACTGTATGTGTGTAGTGCTCATTTACCAGCAAGCAATATACTGAACAGTGCATCACTATCTCAGACAAGAAGCAACCTATGAGTACCAAACAAAAGACTAATAAATTTGGTATTCAAATTACTTCAACTGGAAACTAATCTATTGACAAGAAGAGAAGTAAATTCAATTTGAAATACAAACAATTTAATGGTTTATTGGTTGACTGGTTCATTAGAAAAAGAAGATGATTGCAGAAATATCTTTCACTGCTCAAGGAGGCTTCAAAATTTTATTGGCCTGTTTTGGGTTCATACCACTTTCCAGGGTATAGGAAACCATTTTCAACATTCTCGCAAACCAAAGGTCTATAAAACATGTTCTTGCATAACTTATAAATCATGATGTTTATGGAACAAAATGCACTTAGAAGAATTATGATAGAAGGATATCACCATCTAATTTAAGCCGCCAACAAGACAATAAGTAGGTCTTCTCATGTATACTGTCTCAATTCAGGTTTGTTTGATGTTCTGCAATATAATAATGGTTGCATATGCAATATTTCCTGTGAACCAAGAATGTTTTCTATTAAAAACATTCAAATAATTAGACCATTTCGTCTAGTGTTTCGCTTGTATTCATGATGTTATATGTTCTAAGGGCTTGTAAAAGAATGACACCACGTATTAAGGTTTAAAGAAAAAAAGGATTAAGATTTTCTCATGCAACATGTTATAATATTTTTGAAATCAACCTCCATCCCTCCCTCACTCGCCTTACTGTGAACTCTAAAGTTAGTAAGTAATTGTCCACTAAAGATGCTTATCCAGTAGTCTATTTTAAGGCTCGTCAATATTAAAAACTATCCTTGCCTTACTGTGAACTCTAAAGTCCGCAACTAATTGTCCACCAAAGATGCATACCCAGGATATTCTAACTCTCAGATCAATACTTCACAATCCTAAGCCTTTCGACCTCTAAGTTACCAGGCTACAGCCTGCTGTTCTAAAAGAAACAAAAGGAAGGAAACAAGGACCTGCAAGTTAACAAAATCCAACAACAAATCAAAACAACTTTTTATGAAATCAGAGATTCATCAGACCCTCTACTTGTACTCATAAATACATATGTACTCATGAAAGTAGTCAACTATGTTATAGAAAATAATATGCTCCACCACAAGAAAATCATTAAACTCACTGTTTTTTTCTTGCTTGAGTACCCCATGCCTCGTGAAACATCCAACCCAGAACAAAAACACCAACTGCAGTATATCTATAATAAAGCATAAAGTTGTCAATAATCAGCATACATAGAAGTGAAGATGAGTTTTAACTATCAACAACAACCAAGGATCAATTTGTCTCACATGTTTCCAAAGCTATTCTTGGCATATGCTCCCCCCCTTATGCCCTGCATACATAAATAATGATCCGGAGTGTTTGAGTGAGACCTGCAGTTGTCAAATTCCTATTGTCAATATAGGAAGAGAATTCAGAAAAGAAAAGAAAGAAAGGAAAAAGAACTTCAAATGAGGTTATAGCATATGCTAACAGTGACTCCAGAAGTCTAAGAACTTCCAAAGTTTATTATAATCAATAAAATAACATTGATTTATTCCTCTGAAAGTATATATATGAGAAGATGCCATCATGTGAAAAAAGGCTATAAATTAGATATCAGGAGTACATATCAAGAGCAACATGAATGACAAGATATATAAACAATAGCTGAAGCACACCTCCAAGGTAGCCTGGCCATGAGCGACCATCTCTATCATTCTTGTCCTAATCTGCACAAGATAAGATCATGTAACCAATCAACTTTTCCTCCAATTTTTTCAAAAATGTAAAAATGCAAGGGAAACGACATAAAGGATAAAATGCAATGATGATACAATAGATGCAACGAATATAATAAAGGTAAAATATACATGGTTGTACAAGATCAGAAAGAAGAACCAAATTATATTTGATAAGTGACAAATAGAAGATAATACTTGGTGTCTAGTTTCTAAATTATTAAGGCTTGTAATGAGTTCAAAATTGATTACCTTTCAGTTTTTTAGGAGTCGTTTTACATTGTACACAGATACTTATACGTTCAGCATTTCAATGCAGCATAAGGAACCTAGATGTCTCCCCTTATGTGATATTTTGTGTAGTTAACAAATTAATTGCAAGAAATGTGGCCATCTAACATCATTATTTTTGAAGAATTTTCAATAAATCACATTTTAAGATTATGATATGATCTCACGCCTGAAGAAACAACAGTCAGGTCCCATCTCTCCCAAAATTTTGCCTTGTATTGATATTTGTATTTGAAGGTTGACATAGCTTTAATGCTTGCATTCAGATGAAAGTGGTTAACAATTTCATAGATCATAGTAAGGGATGTGCAACCAGAGACCATGGGAAACAGCAGTTGAAACACCTTCCCTGAGGCTGAAAGGATACCCACGCACAAAATCAGCACCGTCACGGTATGGATCGTACAATGTGTTGAAGAAGTACGGGGTAGAATGGCTAAGGAGATTCTTTATATGCTGTTCCAGAGCGTTGATGTCTTTTCCAGATGGATTCTTGGCCACCTAGTATCAGTATTTAAAAAAATTGGTTAGAATCATAACAAAATAATAATAATAAATCCAAAGGCTAACGTACGCTACAAAAAAAAAACATATTCTGTGTGGATATACTGGAAAAATAAATGGATTTGCATAGAACTAAATATGCAGATTTATGCCTCTAAGATGAATTCACAAATTATTTACAGCAACGAACTTATAAATGACAAATTCAGGTTTAACACATTGCCCGTAACCTGATAGTAAATATTAGTTTACAAATCTACTTCAAGAGCAGAACAAGGTATTTTTCTGCGACGATAGTGATAACTACAAAGTATTCCAGAATCCAAGTGAACTTGAAGACTTGAGCAGCTAGAAATTTAAATATTGCGATCATTTCCAAAAACCCATCTCCCAAAAAAACTCAAAACAAGCAAAAGATGTCAAATTTCATCAAGGGAACCCCTAACCCTACTCAAAAGAGGAGAGAGATCTGGAGCACGACACACCGAAGACACGGACCAGTGGCAATCCTCTAGGGTTCCGTCCTCCAAACCTTGGAGGACGGTCTCCATCGAGATCATCGTCTTGATCGCTCTCGAGATAGCAATCCTCGCCTTCCTCCTCTTCGACGTCGCTCGATGACGGGAAATCTTTGTTATCGGCCATTGCAACACGAGGGAAAGGGAAAGGGAGAGGGAGAAGGAAGGAAGAGACGCTCTCAAAGATGCAATCGAGAACGATCGCGATCGAGGAATCAAGCAGGGCTCGTTAATGGAACCAATGGATTTTGTTTGGGGTTTTAAATAGATGAAGGTTTTATAATTGTTATTCTTCTGTATGAGACGCAGGGAAAGACGAGACGAGGAGGTTTTTAATATGAATTAATTAATAATAATAATCTTAAACATTGATAGTCATAATCAGAAGGTAAAAAGGGCCAAGTAACAATAATTAAATAGAATTATAGGATATAAAATTATAATTAAGCAAGTTTAAAAGGGCAAAATGGGTATGTAAAAGTTTTGACAATGGTTTTCTCTTTTAGAAGTAGTATAGATATAGATAGATTTTAATTATATATTTATTGACACAAATATGTATTGTGATTTGCTACACTTTTTATTTTTGTCACTATTAGTTAATCCTTTGCAAATAAAATGACACTTTATATGTATCATAAAATACGTGTAGACATATACAATTTTTATTATGGTGACATCAAAAAATTATAAAAAAATTCGATGATAAAATATGTTTCCGCAAAAATAAAATGGTGACTCAACATGTAGGCTTGGTTCGGTAGGAGGTACAAAGAGGCAATGCAAGGTAATGATAGGAATTAAATAAAATCTAAGTTGTAAGCGTACAACTATCAAGTTATAATATAGAAAAATGTTGATCCTATGAGGAAGGTGTTATAGGACATAATTAAAATTTGATTCTTAAGTTGTGTGTAACAATTAGTAGTGATAGAAGTAGTTGTGGAGAGATAAGAGAGTGGAGTTGTGACTATATGCAAATAAAACAAAATAGATTAAAAGGGAAGAAAGAAAGATGAAGAAATAGAGAAAAATAAAATTAAGAAACAAATAAAGAAAAATAAAAAATAAAGAGGGAAATAAAAAAAGTAATAGAATGAGGATTCAATTAGAGATATGAGGAATTTAGAATTGAATCAACTAGTCAATTTCACTTAGAAATTATGAACTATTCTCTTTTTATCACATTTTACTTAAGATTTATTAAGCATAGACTATCAAATCTGTTGATGTATGGAATCACACAGTCAAATAAAAATAGATTAAGTTGATGGAGGTCCTTTAACTCTCCGAATGTCTAGTCCTTGAGCAAGCTATTCGGATGGGGTGTGATTCCCCGGTTGTTCTACCAACGGTCAAGTCAGTGAGCTGCTTGTGTGGAGAAGTATAAGGAACTACAGTAGTTCTTAAGTTCAGAGAATAGTGTAAAAAACTTTTTTTTGTAATGAAAAAATAGTACCTCATTTTATAGTAATGGAAGGAGGGTAGGATAATAACTTTGGTCGGGCATGGGCTAACGGTTGTGTCAGCTTCAACTTTACAAGTGTCGGTCAATGACTGGAGAAGAGGTTACTTCGGTGTTTAATGCGAAGTGATGGAGGGTATGCGATGCCGACATGGTCTGATGTGTCATAAATACTATTAGAGGCAGAGGAATAATGACGCCAATAATGCATTTAATAGCATTTATGGTGAGGTGATTGGTCATCAGTGCACAGGAGGGGCTCGAGGCTCTAGGCGTTTCGTCGCCTTTCTACTCATCTGGTGGACGAGAAGGACCGCTTTTTAAGTCACCCTTGCAAGGTGTCGGCCGATTAGTCGGTCGAATGGAGTGGTTAAGTAGTCGACTCAGCCGGGGGACATGTAACGCCTTTCGGTTCGTCGACATGTGACGCCTTTCGAGTCGTCCTCTCAAGATGTCAGAGTGCCGAGTCGACCGAATTAGGCCTCTGATTATCTCGAGGTGCTGACTTGATTATGCATAATGTTGGACACATGTCTGTTATTGATTGAAGATTATTTTTCATCACTAAAATGACTATAACAAAACCACTTAGGGAAAGTATAACCTATAAAATTATCATCCAAGTAAATTTAACATTCATGAAAAGAATAACAACTAGATATTAATTCTAAAATTTGTAAGCATAACATATTAAACCACTCAAAATAAACATAGATTATCAACTTCTAGCTAATAGTTCTCTAGTTGATTTATCCTAAACATGATCATTTTAAGCATGAGAGAATAATTCATAAATTATAAAAGAAATTAAACTAGTTTTAAATAATTCTAGAATTCTTACTAAAATTAATTCCATATCTTAGAAAATAAAAACAAAGAAATAAAATCTAGACTAGAGAGAATAAAAGAAAGAGAATGAAAATAAGAACTAACTACAAAGAGGAAAATAAGAACAATGATTAAAGATCTAAACTATGAATAAAAAGAAAAGAACATAAAAGGAAATCTAAACTATGCAAGAATATAAATTTATACTACAAAATAAGTACAAGAAAATAATGCAAAAACAAAGACATGAAAAGTAAATCTACTCTACAAGACATCAAAATCTATTATCTATTACCCCTTTAAAAGAGCCGGTTCCTGAAAAACTTTCCCATCCCAAAATTAACCTTCAACCATCATAAATATACCCAATTTCTCCCTTATATAATTTCGTCACTTTAAATTCGCCTTCAGGTTCTGGAATTTTCGCCTCCGTTACTCCTTCATCGTCGCCTCGCCTTCAGCTTCTGGAATTTTCTCCTCCGTTACGCCTTCCTCGTCGCCGAAGTCAAAGAGATCATCCATTACCCTTCTCCTACGAAGCCGAACCGTTACCGGAATTTGCAAAGATGTCGTTTATTCGTTCGATTCACTTATCCGTCGAAGCCGAAGCGTTAGAGAAATATGCACAGATTAGTATTTATTCCGAATTTCCGCATTCATCTCCAAATATTTCTGCAATTGGGGATTCAGTAAGGTATTTTTTTCTTCATCTTAACTCCTTTATACAAAACCCTATATCTAAATTTAACATCTACTTCTTCAGTCCTTTAATTTTCTTCTAAAATTTACACTAATTTCCGATTCCCTCCAGATTCGAGCGAGAGGGGTTTAAATATTCCAACAGCAGCCGGATCGACATTAGAAAGTAAGTTCAGTTGATTTTAGTTCTTTAAATTTTCAGATTTTGATTTTGATTTTGATTTATTTCCTAAATTACTTCTGTTTTCCATTTATAACATTTTTTGTATCTTATATTTGTTTGGGAATTGATTTCTTGTTATTGTGTTTCATATTCAAGCTCAGAAGGTGGGTAAATATGTTTTTTTAATTTTAAATTGAACATATAAAATAATTAGATATAAAATAACTAATAGTATTACATAATTATTAATTGATACTATCAACTCATCAGTAAGATTTGAAATAACTACAAGCATTACCTGGTTGACATAACTTTTGCTGTACGCATTAATTGAAAGGCAATCCTGCTTGCACGACTGAAAATGTTTTATCCAGCGCTGCAAGATTTTAGGAATGAAATGTCTAATAGACAAGATGTTGTGATGTAGAATATTGTTAAAACTGAACGAAACAACAAGGATTGAACTGAAAATAGCAAACCCTGGTGAGAAAATAAAGTCAAGCAGTAACCAAGTGGCAGAGTAATAATATATCATAACGTTAGTTATTAAGATTAAACCAAGATGTCTCCCATAAAATGATTTGTAATCCTATAGTTTAGTGTTGAGTCAGTGTTAAATTCTTTATCAATCAAACTTAGGAGAAAACCCCTAAAGCCTAAGGATGAGAAAGGTAGGGTTGGAAAATAAAGGGAAAGATATTCAACACAAACATTTATAGAGGCTCTTATTTATAGAGGAAAATGGTTGCTTCTCATGTGACATATGATTGTTGTTTCTTTGCATGCTCCCCGCAAATCGATAGACATGGTTTAATTCTCAATACAAACAACTTGACTGAATAAATATAAACACATATTGCCTTAACTGGCCTATTTGAATTATAATTATGATGATAAATATGCTAACAGCTGTCGACATACATATTTATTTATAGTTCTCCAAACTAAAGTGTCAATTTACCTCCTTATTTTAAAAGTGTTTGGTCCCAGGCTTCTTTCAAGTCATATGTTTGATTGCTTGTGTAGATGCATGTAAATGCTGATACCGCGAGGTGACCAGTCCAAATAGAGGACAAAAATGGCCAACGAAACATAATAAGTGAATAACAACATTGAAATCATAGAGCAAGAAATGCTGACCATTACAAACTCAACGAATGCAATGCGAGTTTTATGCTGATAGTCCCCGAGCATTCTCATGCGATAGACCTATCAAAAGAGAGCATTTTAGTATACATCCTTCCATGAAACATAACTTCTTCACATTAACTAATGCATAACCATCAACAAAATAACCATCGGCAACAACAAACCTCTCCACATATTGATCCAAAAAAGAGTCTCAGCTCTTCCTGAGTAATCTACATAAGGTGAATTCTGAAAGGTAAATAAAGTGGTAGAGAATAAAAAGGTTTCCCCAATATAGAAATCATGAGCCAAAATTACCTTCTTGTCAATGTTTGTACAGTAGACAGTTCTTGCACACTAGCCTTAACTATTACTTTTTATTGGTTTTGTTAGTTTCGAAAGGTTACTGTAATGCTTCTACTTAAGACTCTGTTGTCTATTGCATGTCTTATGTAGGCTGGTAAATGTTGTTAATTTGGTATATTGTAGGATCTCCATTCAATATTTATTATTACTGAGAAAAATCATTTAGCTTTCATGAAACTGAGTTTAATACAATATTGAGACTATCTGTGCATATGCAGCAGCAACATATATACACACAGTATTGTGTGTATCTGCTGCAGATACACAGCAGATACACACAACATGTGTATCTGCTGTGTATCTGCAATAGATACACACAATATTGTGTGTATCTGTCTGCAGTAGATAAACACAGTATTGTGTGTATCTGCTGCAGATACACATATACACACAATACTGTGTGTATCTGTCTGCAGTAGATAAACACAGTATTGTGTGTATCTGCTGCAGATAACCAAATATAATCAGTTGAATGTTGATCAGAAGAGAACTTACATTCAGAAGGTCATTGATAATAATATAAAGAGGAAAAGAAATGATTTAGCTGATAATAGTACCAATAGCAAGGGAAAACGTAAGATTGATTTGTTTTGTGGAGCGCAACAGCGAGAATATGAGCATGGAGGTTTGCATAGATTAATTTTATAATTTATTAAAATAATTGCATGATTTTATATATCTAAATTTATTTAACACTAAAAACTATTATTTTTTTCTAGGTCAAATTACACATGAACCAGTATGTTCTTTATTACATAAACTACGGACTCCAAAGTCTTGTTCATTTTGTGGAGCAAAAAAGTTTGAACATGAGCCACCAACATCCTGTTGTCATAATGGTGAAATCCACCTAGCAGATGTGAATGTTAATGATGAGTTATATGCCCTTTATACGGTACAGACCCAAGAGGCAATTGAGTTCCGAAGACAAACCAGAAAGTATAATAGTATTTTCTCATTCACATCATTTGGGGCAAGGTTTGATAGAGAACTTGCATCAAACAGAAAGGGTATTTTCGATATGGGTTGTCTTTGATTTGGTTCTGGAATCGGAGAATCACAAATGATAGAGTTTAGTTATTTTTTTTTGTTGCGATTTCGGTTGTGATTTTTTTCCTAAATTAGGTATTAGGTATATCAATTCTGTTTTGATCAATCTAATACTAAATTAGGTATTAGGTATATCAATTCTGTTTTGATCAATCTAATATCAATTGCATAACCAATAGATTAAAGATATTAAAATGTTTTGTAATCATTACTTGAGAAAACATGTTCCTTGAGTAATTATGTATGTTGTGAAAACCTGTTGTGCAGTTCTCACGTAAATAATTTAACAATTTTTTTTATGTATGTTGTCTCTGAATAATTATGTATGTTTTCTCTCTGAGCAATTATATATGTTTTGTAATACACTATTACGTGTAGATTAAATTATTTAACATTTTTTCATATTAATGCAGATATCCTACTTGGTTGGATTTGCCTTGTTTTTTTTAAAAACATTTCTAAAGTTGTCGGTGATTCAGGTTAGTTAAGCAACTTTCTTCTCTTTTCTCTTTATTTTGTTCATAGTGATGATAACTCTATTTCCTTGTATTTATCTTCTTCTACACTTAAATATTAATTATTATTATTATTATATGACTTAAAAAAAATTAACCTTAGCATATGAGATATTTGTGATTACTGATGCATGTATAGTTTACCAAATTTCTAAGATTGATTTGTTTTGTAGAGCGTAACAGCGAGAATATGAGCATGGAGGTTTGCATAGATTAATTTTATAATTTATTAAAATATTTACATGATTTTATATATCTAAATTTATTTAACACTAAAAACTATTATTTTTTTCTAGGTCAAATTACACATGAACCAGTATGTTCTTTATTACATAAACTACGGACTCCAAAGTCTTGTTCATTTTGTGGAGCAAAAAAGTTTGAACATGAGCCACCAACATCCTGTTGCCATAATGGTAAAATCCACTTAGCAGATGTGAATGTTAATGACGAGTTATATGCCCTTTATACAGTACAAACCCAAGAGGCAATTGAGTTTCGAAGACAAACCAGAAAGTATAATAGCATTTTCTCATTCACATCATTTGGGGCAAGGTTTGATAGAGAACTTGCATCAAACAGAAAGGGTATTTTCACATTTAGAGCACAAGGACAAATATATCATAATCTCCCCTCTCTTATTCCAGAAGAAAATAAGCCTTCCTACTTTCAACTTTACTTTTACGATACGGAGAATGAGTTGCAAAATCGAATGGGAATATTAGATAATGCAAACATGAGTACGACTACAACTAAAAGATTGATGGATATATTTGAAGGAAACCCATATGCAAAATTTCTGCGGAAACTAAATGATTTTCCATCTCTTGAAGACTTCAAGATCATTATAAATAGAGATGCTGCAGTAGATCAACGTGTTTACAACTCGCCAACAGTGGATCAGGTTGCAGCTGTCTGGATAGAGGAAAATAATGATAATGTTCCGTATGAGAGAGAAATAGTTGTCCATTCACACTCTGGCAAGAATCATCAAGTTAATCACTATTTTGGTTGTTATGATCCTTTACAATATCCTTTACTCTTTCCAGGCAGAGATGTTGGATGGCACCAAAATATCAAAAGAAGGGATAAAAATGATATTCGCCAGTCAAAACAAGTAAATACAACATCTCAAGTAACTCAACAAACTTTTACATCTGCAGAAGATATATTTAAGCGAGAAAGGGAAGGTAAATCATAATTAAAATTGTTTAATAATATTAAAACATTAAAAATTAACTTAACCTGTAAACTTGTAGGTGTTAAAGCACCAAAGGCAGGAAGCGTCTCATGTCGAGAATATTATTGTTACAAGTTCCAGATAAGAGACACTCGACAATCTACAGTATTAACATCGGCAGGCCGCTTGTTCCATCAATATGCTGTTGATATGTACATAAAGCTTGAAACAACAAGACTTGATTATTTTAGAAAGAAACAATCAGAAATCAGAGCAGAGTTATTCCAAGGCATAGTCGATAGTGTAGCTGCTGGAGAAGCAAATGCATGTCAAGTCGGAAAAAGAATAGTGCTGCCATCATCATTTATTGGTGGTCCTAGAGATATGCGTCGTAGATATCTTGATGCAATGTCATTAGTACAACGATTTGGAAAACCAGATATTTTCATTACAATGACATGCAATCCTGAATGGGAAGAAATCACGGAGGAGCGACATCCAGGACAGACACATAATGATAGACCAGATCTAACCTCAAGGATATTTAGAGGAAAATTGCAAGACCTGAAAGATCAGCTATTTAAAAAGGAAATCTTTGGAAAAGTTGCTGCCCATGTTCATGTCATCGAGTTTCAAAAAAGAGGGTTGCCTCATGCACACATGTTGATTATTCTAATGGGAAAACACAAAATCGTCTCATCAGATCATTATGATAAGTACGTATCAGCAGAAATTCCAAACCAGTATGAAAATCCAATCCTATATGAACTGGTAAAAAACATATGATGCATGGCCCTTGTGGAGAGTTAAATATGAAGAATGTTTGCATGCAAAATGGCGAGTGTAAATATCACTACCCTAGAGAGTTTTCTCCGATATCACTACAAGCGAAAGATGCTTACCCAGTTTATAAAAGGAACAATGTTGGTTCGAAACAAAATCCTTAATAATCAATGGGTGGTACCTTATAATCCTTATTTGTTGACACGTTATAACTGTCACATCAATATTGAAATATGCTCAGGCATAAAAGCAGTTAAATACCTTTATAAGTACATATATAAAGGCCATGATAGAGTAGCAGTAAACATTGAGTACAATGAAGGTGAAAAAGTTGTGAATGAAATCAAGAATTTTCAAGATGCAAGATGGGTATCAGCTCAGGAAGCTTTCTGGAGAATATATGAATTCCATCTTAATGAGATATTCCCGGCTGTCATTAACTTACAACTTCACATGCCAAATCATCAATATGTTTCATATTGGAAACATCAAGACCTATCGAAATTTATTCACTTGGAACATGTCTCAAAGACGATGCTTACAGAATTTTTTACTATGTGTAAAAAAAAAATTAAAGAAGGTAACAAGAAGAAACATGAAAAGGACCATGAAAAGGAGTTATTATATGTGGAATTTCCTGAATATTATGTTTGGGATTCAACATCAAAATCTTGGCGTCCAAGAAAACAGAGACAAGTGATAGGTCGAATAAATGGGGCTAATCCAATTGAAGGAGAGAGATATTACCTGCGACTATTGCTTACTCACGTTAGGTGTCCGAAATCATTTGAAGATCTACTTACGGTAAATGGTAATCAGTGCAAATCTTTCAAGCAATCAGCTCAGAAATTAGGTCTTTTGGAATCTGATGATAGCATAAGAGAGTGCTTAGATGAAGCCATCGTCTTCCAAATGCCAACAGCACTTCGACGTTTGTTTGCAACTATATTGGTTCATTGTGAGCCTACAGATGTTAATCATTTGTGGGATAAATATATTGAATCATTATCTGAAGACTTCTCAAGGAAACCAAATGCTACTAGAGCTTCGGTGATAAATGATACTCTTCTCAATATTAACTTCTACTTAGAGAGTATG